TGCCGAGATACAACACTACTTGCCCTAAGGAGAACTCATCTCGTCATACGATACAATGAAAGTTCTATAGCTTCTCTCAACGCACAACGTTCCTACATTACAGATTCTTTTGGATTAACGTAATCGATTTTAAGAAGAACATAGGGTGTTTGTCCACATTTGTCCACGTTTATCAAAATTCTCGCTTCATGCTGACGGCTGGTTGACTAGGCACTGCTCATTAATTCCTTTTTTGAGTAAACCGCCAACAAATTCCCACCACTGAACACTCAAACACCGTTTTCGGTCACCCCTACTGCTACTATTTAGGAATCTGATACGAGTGAAGAAGAGGAGGAAAGATGTTTTGAATGCCGCGATAGCGAGAAAATGCACATTCATGACGTGGGTATTTCAGACACCCTATCCGTAATTTTTGACCTGCAGCCCCACCCCTCTGCGAGTAGTACACTTATCCCCTCTGTTATAGCTTCTCGCCAACATGTACTTCAACAAGGTGGTGCTGCCAGGTATGGAGTACGTGGAGGATTTTGTCGATTTCCTTATTGATGCCGAGCTGAACGATCTGCCTGTGCTGAAACGGGCATGCGAACGATACCTTTGCGGCGAACTGAACACCGTAAGACATCCAGGATATCATTCATAGCAATTTCAGAACAAATTTCCGTTACAGAAGAAGGATTTGCTGACATCATTGCTGTTGGACCTACTTTTTATTTCGATAGTCTTCCAGTTGCCGGTCATGAAGAGTATGACTTTGTCCGAATTGTCAAATAGGACCGAGGAATTATCACAACCTGATAAGCTGATGGAAGAGGAGGAATATAAGTCAGTTTGGCTCTTACACTTTCTGCAAATTCGCTAAATAGTTTTCGACCACAGAAAACTTCCAAATCATCATATCAATAAAGCCGCTTTGATTCAGCGTTAACCTAACTTGAATGTATAGTTTTACCTTTTAATGAAAAAAAAACTAAGGAGGAAATGTCTAAATAGTTCTATTAAATGATGTTGCCAAGAAAGAAAAGGCTGTCCATTTGCAGACTACATAAGTAAAAATCAATTTTAATATTAATTCTACCTATGTTACTGTGGCTATACAACAATAGCCCCGTGATAGATTGGTACATCTCCGTTTTTCCACAACAAACCAAAGCCTTACTAAAAACTAGAATTTTTACCTAGAGTAATTCAGTCCCGTAACGCAGATACCTAGAAAACTCTAAGAACATTAACATAAGGCTTATAGGTTTTTTGAAACTACAGTGTCAAACCCCTTGCTAAGAGCAGTGCCATTTGACAGAATGCAGTTGCATTATTATGACTTAAATCACTGCGGAACATCCCCACCTGGCAAGACTAACGGTTTTCTTCAATCACCTTTATGATAGACCTGGCATCGAAGCACTTTGTCAGTTAGAGGCAAACTAGTATACTTTGTGAATAATAGCTTCATCTGGTCTTGGCCATTGGCTCACCAAAACCGGCATGCTCTCTACTCCTGAGCCGTTGCCTTTGGAGAGCAAGAGGCAATGCCGCTTGCAAGGAGATGCTGAGTGTGCTGGTTTTGGTGTAGCACAATCCCGCGGATTGAGAAAGGTACTCCAGCTCTACCAGAATACTTCCCAATTCTACCCTCTTTAGTGACAATATTTTCAGACTTTTGGACAAACGCGTACGATCACTCTCTGATCGCAATCTGGTTGAACTCATCGAGCAATGCATCACATTCAGCGAGCAACGAAACAGAGTGCAGGTGATCACTCTCAACGCATAGATCGTAATTAGTCCTTATCCACGAGTAACCTTAGTGGGGCATTCCCCGCTTCAACGTGTGCATTCATTTCCTGTATATCCGAAACAGCTTTTGAAGCACCCATCGTACAGTATTTGCTATCATCGAAGTACTAGTCACTTCAAATTTTCACTTAATCATTTGAATCGTTTCATGCTTTCAGTTTCT